TATTCGTTGATGATATCAGTTTTCTTTTCTGGGAAAAATCGATCACAGTTCACAATTTAGATGTTTTGAATAGCTCCTCTAACCATCGGATAAATAATTTGATTTATCCAGCGTCAACGAAAGGTGAAAGGGAATACGTACGTCTGTTCACGATTAAGCCATAGTTTCTGTTTATCGTCATCGTCTATAGAATAAGTCTGTTGCATCTTCCTTTTTGGTTTCAAGGATCTCACTTCACGTTGAGACTTACTGTTGAAAATCGATTGTTCAACACAAAGTTGAAATGAATAATCGAACGATATCGAATCATCTTTCATCCTTTTTTACATTTAGATTTAACTTCAAAGATACGTGCGGCATCCGCGAATCCGCGAAACTTGACTATAGAACAACTGAGCGATTTGAACAGCAGTTTGGAACAGGCTTTCAATCGGATCGTACAATCAAGAAACGACCGGGCCCAACCCATATTCGGACATCGTCCACGATCCGATCCACTGGTTTTTCACGCCAAACGCAGTCTGGATCCCGGCACACATTTCGATCCAGAACAGCCGAGTCACAAAACTCTAAGATCTAATTCACTGAACGAACAACCCGATATGCGAGTACTGGACGTGTTGAAACGTAACGGTGGCTCACTGGCCGGTGATATTGTCGACTCGATCACGCGAATTGCCAGCCCGCGTGTGGATTCGCATCAGCATCCGCACCAATCAGTCCCCGGGCAATCAGTCACATTTCTCGCTGACCCTCAATCGGATACGGGCATGCATTGTGACGGATCGGGATTCTCCACACCGTATCCTCGACCACTCTCGGCTATTCCGACCACAGATACTATGGATTCTTGGACTGTGGATGCTATAGGACAATACGCGCACGAGACCTCCAGATGTACAAGTTCTAGTGAGTAACATACAACATAACTAAGTAATTCAATTCATTTTCTTGCAGTATTACATTGTTGGTGTCATTTCCATCGTGACTATAGGATCCATCCCGTCTGCTGTTCGTTAGACAAGTGTGTGTGTGTGTGTGTATAGTTTATTAGGTGAATCAAAGTACCTGGTGTGCACACAAACCCTGAGAGATTGTCTCCCCGGACCAATCATCACTAAAATGGAAAGGCAACTGAGTGGCACGAAATACGTTCCAGTTGGTGGGTTCAATTTTCTTTTTTCGGCATAACTCACCGACTATCTCACCGATCGTATCATGGAGATTCATGCTTGAATTGTCTGATCCAGTTTTCATTTCATAAATGTATTTAATTGTTCGTTATCTATTTATTCAGTGAGTTGATTTTTATGATCATTAATGAATAATGTACCGTTATAGTATATTGGATTGGACTTGGGGTGTTCGTCGATCCAAAATCTTTACTATCCTGCGTTTCAGTACTATAAAATAGGCTCTCGGCGGATTGGAAGCCTGATCTTCTAATTTCAAGGTGCTTGAAAATGATGCTCACTCGATGAACGGTGTGTATTAGTCGTTGTCTTTCCTGACTAGATGCTGACAAGAACTTCACCTGAACAACGATCCAGTAATATGCTAGGGCTGTCAGATCCAATTTGAACTGCAGTTCACCAAAGTTTTGGACCACCAGTAGTAGGTTAATGACCGGACAAAATTTCTTGAAAGCAGACTACCGGTTTTGCGGTTCTTACCGCTCGTCAGGTATATACTCATCCGATAGTGTTTTTTTCAGTTCATTCATATCCTTGTGCCCAGGAAGTGTATTTTCGTCATAATAACCTTGTCTGCAACGCCGGGTGATTTTTGTATAGACCGTTGTTTCACAGTCAGTCCACTAAATAATCAATACTATGATTCGATGTTCTCTAGGTGGTAGGTGCTACTAACCTCAACAAACGTGACTTATATATATATATATATTTCACACTTGTCTGGGGACAAACTGTGCCAAGAAAATCATGGTACAATA